TCCCCCCCCCCCCCCCGCCTTCTCCGTGGTCAATGGTCAGAGCACTACGGCATGCATGACTATGACAACACCTCCCCTCTCCCTCCCCGTGAAACTGAGGCCGATGATCCCCCCTTCAACACCCCCGCCGCTCGTCAATGCAATCTACGTATCTTACAGGCTTTCGAAGGAGGCAAAACGCCTCGAGGGTGAGGTAGCGTCGGCGGTCCGCGCGCTAAGGGAGAGCCCGTCGACGGTGGAAGGCATGCTCAAGGAGGCCGCGGCAACACGGCGGCTGCTGGCTAAACGCTCGAGGAAGCTCTCTCGCTTGTCCGCCAAGCAGCATGCCAAGGGGGCAGCCACCTCCGCTACCGCTTGCCCGCCCGCCCCGGCGCGCGAAAATGGTGGCCGGGTGGGCGCGGAAGCCGAAACGGGATCCACGGCGGAAGAGGACAGTAAGGCGGAGGTGGAAGGGGAAGAAGACGACGACGAGGGAGAGGAGTTGGAAGGCGAGGACGATCAGAACGAACAGGAGGCGGAGGAGGAGGAGGAGGCGGAGGAGGTGGAGGTGGAAGAGGGGTCAGTGGTTTTGGGGGCCTTTGACCCAACCCCCGAGCTCAAGTCCAGGCTGAACGACAGGGGAAACTCTCTCCGGTTTGTGACGGCGGACGAGGAGGCACAGATCCGGAAGGAAGAGCTGGCGATGGTCTTCTCCGGTCGGTCCAGCGGATCAGCAGCGGCTAGCGGGGTGTTGGAGGAAGACGGCGGCAGTAGCAGCAGCATCGGTGGTAATGGTGATGATGACACCGGTGGCGATGCGGAGGAGGGGGAGAAGACGTCGGCCGACGATGTGGGCAGCGATTCCAGCCTAGCTGGTGGACGGGGAAGCACCAGGGGCCGGGTCAAGTCCTTCGGGGCAATCTTGGAGAGCACCCTGAGCAAGAACTTGGTCCCCGCCCCCCCACCCTCCCGGTCTACCGGCCCGATCAGGAGGGCCAGCATGTCGGCGTTGCCCCCCCGGCCGGAGCGGGAGTCCAGCGGCAAGAAGAAGGCCGCGGTGATCGCCAAGGAGACGCCGTGGAAGCCCAAGTCTAAGTACTTCCGCTCCCTGCAGTCCGCGGCCGCCGCCAGCGACGGCAACGGCAACGCCAGCAGCGGTGGCTCTCGCTCTACCGGCGGCATGCCTCCGCCCCCGCAGGCACCGATGCTGGGAATGCTGTCGCAGATTCGGGCCCGCGGCAACAACACAGGCTGCTCTCGGTCGACCGGCTGCCTGCCCCCGCCGCCGCCGCCGCCGCCTCCGCCGCCGCCGGCACCGATGCCGGGAATGCTGTCGGAGATCCGGGCGCGCGGCGGCAGCGCGCGCGGCGTCGCTGGCACCCAGAGCGGCGGTAGCCAAGCGCCGGCCGGCATGGACGGTCTTTTGGCAGAGATTCGAGCGAGGCGCCGCTGAGGTCGAGAGGCCCTCACAGAGCTCCACACTAGTCGAAGGGGATGGTCTTCCACGTTTTGTGATTTTGTTTTGTTTCGTGCACGTGCAGTTGTGGCTCCGATCCTAAAGGGTCGAAATCGGTCGTCACGGACAGAACCCGCTGTAGTGTAGTTGAGCACCCTCTTATTCCAGTAAGCGAGGGTTGAGGGCCTTTGTAACACCTCCCAATCAATGTATTATATCGGGGCCACCACTGTAAATGTCGGTTGTACAGCATAGATTGTCTGAGTTACGTACTGGCGGGGCTGCTAATTGAGGTAGTTAGACTTGATTGGGTCTATGAGTGGCTGCCTGTTGTATCACGTGTATCTCTATCGTGTGTGTTTGAGAGAACACACCGGCTGTGACTGCACTTTATCTGGGTTTTTACTTGCTGTTGTGGGTGACTGTGACTGTGACTGGATTTGTATGCGTATAGGGAGAGGTGAGGTGACCGGGTGCAACTTGTCACCCACGACACCGACCCGACACAACTGCTCTTGTTTTTATTTTTTCTTCTTCCGGTGTCTAAGCCGTCTGCTTTTGTCATCAGCGGCAGAGGTTCCTGTTCCCGCGCTTCTAGAATAAAGCCCGCCTTGTTTTCGTGCAGGACTGTAAAGATTCGTGGGGGATCTATTCAGTTCGTGTGCTGTACTCGTTTGATGGGTCAGTCTAGAGGTCAGCAGGGCAATTTTGAAGAGATTTGGAGGTTTGTTTCTTTCGATCAAGGTGATTCGGTTTCGTATACGAACAATGGTCACGAAACGACATGTCGCGCACGTGCGCGGGAGCACGGGAAGATTTAAGTTCGTATTTGTTGGTAAAATGGTGTTTTGCGGTTTCGTCGGTCGCTTGAGGGAGTTTTCATTTCATTCCTATCATGCATGCAACAATGTCCACTCATCATTTCGGTGCACTTATGGATAGATGGACATCAATATCCGCATCCACATATCCATACAACAGGTAGGCTTTTGGGAGGGGGTTGTCATGCAGGCATGTTTTGAGCGGTCGCTCGTTATGGTGGGTGGAATGTTGCAAGTTTTTTATGCGGTTGAAATGCGAAAAGAGGAACGGAAGTAGCGTTTCCTCGAACAACCTTCCTTCTGAAGGCGCTCGAGGGCTTTGTAACCCCGCGGTGTTGCTGTGCCGTGTTTCATGTTTACGGGACCGCATTTTTTTTGCCTTGTTCGAGAGAGAAATTTCTGAGAAATTTCTCTGTTCACAGGCGTCGTAGGCTCTTCCGTCTCCGGTTTTATCACTTTCATCCGATAGGGAGCTGTTTTACAATTCTGTTTTTTTTTCCGAAATGTGACTTTGAGAGTATGCCACTGTTTCCTCTTTTTGGAGAAGACGACGGTCGTCATTGTTCGGTTATTGTACACCGAAGGGCAGGAGATAGAATGAGATAGGAAGAGGGTCCGTGTGTGGGTCTTGTGTCGTATGGGTGTCGTCGTGTCGGTTCCCTTTATTTTTCCATGTCGGTTCAATGGTCGAGGATGTGGGGTGGCTCCTGGGCATCCGGGTGAAGATGGGTTTAGCGCACCGCTCCGATGCTATCATGGGTGATCCAAAAATGTGGTATGGGGCTTGGGTACGGCTTGGGGTAACAGGCTATCGCTAAGACGATGATGATGAGCGGGAGTTGCTGTTTTTGCTGGGAGGGTCGTGATGTGGTTGCGTTGGCTTCGAGGTAGCCGGTTGAAGTGGCAACTCTTGAAGCCTCGAATTTTTGATACTGCGTTGAGCAGCGGAGGTTGCTGTTTGTGCTGGGAGCGTTGTATCGGGCGGGGACTTGGCCTTGATGTAGTACGTATCCGAAGGAGTGCTGGCGACGGGGTAGACAAATATCGCCCAGTGTGTCACTGCGCTTGTGGTAGCGATTCGTTAGAATCCGATTCATTTCGCCAAGGTGGCCTGTGCTATCAAGACACCGAAGCGTCCTGGAAAGCGTGTGCGTGACAAATGCGGGCGACGCACAGGATGCTCCATCAGCAAGCTACGTAGCAAGTTCTCGGTGCAAGATCAGCGCCCGCGACAACTCCACAAAACACTGTAGATATTCATTGCAGAAAGACGAAACGAGCGATCGGCTTTTCATATCGACCCCATTGACACGTTGTATAAATTTATCGGAGCAGTAGACGCTTTGTGAACGTTCTTCGAGCCTGAGGATGCTGGACAAAGGAAAAAGGGGGAGGTGACGGCAACTCGATACGTACGGCTGTACTACTGAACCTTGCAGGTGATGACACCGACGCAGTAGTAGATGATCTTTCAAACGGTGGACCGCCAGGGATTCGCAATCCGACATACGAATCATAAGCAGGGGTGTTCACGCCAAGCGTACGTCGAGATAAGTGAGTGAGTACATGAGCGTGTGGTTGAACCGCGGAATGCCGCACGAAAGCTATTCTCTACTCTATGGATAGACACGTACGGCTCGACCGTTAAGCTCGCCAAATGAAACCACTAGACTACTTTCTTCTTATCCCGACGGGAAGCTCCGTCTGCCATCCATCAAGATTCGTGAAGCTGGTGCTCCTTACTCTCTAGTCCGAACAAACCAACTTACGAGACATACGTACCTCGTTTTCGAAATGTTTGCGTCATTTTCGCGGGGAGTGTCCATCAGGTTTTCGAGGATAGTATCGCACCATTCCAACCCCGGGGATAACTGAAGCGTGCTATGCACCAAAAGTTGCGCCGTGAAAAACGGCGGGAAAAGTTGTGGGAAGCCGCCTGAAGTTTGTTCCCAAACAATATTGTAACCCTACAGTCTTTTAGCTAGATGAAATATCAACAGCCTGGTCGACGGTGGTACGTCACGAAGACAATACTGGTTCCTGTGAACGGTATTCCAGTATTGCACAAAAGGGACACAGAACAACATTTTCTACAATAGCACGTTTCTGAAAAACAGAAAGTTCAGTTTCCTTATGCCGAGTGTCTTTTAGGTTAGCGGGGACCACTGTAACTAAAAAGAGGGGGAATAGTATCACATGTGGGTCCGATACACGAGAGCAAAGGAGCTGTTCCACTAAAATGGCACCAGCACATAAAATAGATGGGATGTGCAAGGATGGCGATCGATCAGTTTGGCGGTACCAGTGTGGGTACAGAACAGCTAAAGTAACTCCGGCGTGCATGATACCTGCATTGTAGTTGCACGTGCGTGTGAACACACCATCAAGTGATCGTTTCATAAGCGACTTGGAGGGAGTCTCGCCATCGCATCGTCTCGATCGTCGCACAATCTTCACGTGGTAGAGGCCTAAGCCAACTTCGCGCAGAAGGAAATGCCCCCTGAAGGAGCAAAGGCGTAAATTCAAAGGAAAATATACGTGGTTCAAAAAATCTGAACCAGTTTTATGTGGGTTACCTTTGCTTCTCTTCTCATGGCTGCTATTGAGCGCTATGCTCTGGTGGCCACCGTACGCTTTCGGACGATGCAGCGTTGGGAGAATCAAGCCGGACGCCCAGCCACGCACGTGCGGCAACACCACCGAGGTGGCTGAGTGACTGAGGGCCGCCAATCCGCTGACGCTTATCACTTACATTTCATTCCTTCACACGACAGCCACCCACCCTGCTCTCTGCACCCACATGTTCATTCGAGTGGGCGAAACGTGTGTGCGTCACACAGTCTATTCGATCACTCCCGCTAGCAGGTAAGTGGATGACGTGTGTACGTGATACAGTCTATTGGTCACTCCGTCGGACGAGGATTTACATAACTGCTGCATGTTCCCGTCACGACTGTTCTCTCTCCCCTTCGAAGCTGCCGGCGGAGGGTGCTGAAATATTGAGCGCAATTGCTTAATTTTCATTTCATTTGGTGGTCAACCATCAAATCGGAGTAAACGTCCAACTCGAATATCACACTTCACAGCAGACAACGCCTCCGCTGATCGTCTACGTCGCTCCGACAGGCTTGAGCTTGGACCAAAACATGGGTTAATCTACAAGACGGTCATCATGTCAACCCCTCGCCAGCACCGTAGACCACGTGGAACATGATAATCTACAAAACACTCTTTTAAGGACCAGGATGAGGCCACAGTTGCACCCCAAGCGGAGTTCCTTCCAATCGGGGAAGGGATACCGCTTCTTCCCTGTCGACAACGGGTACAACTATGACTCCAATGTAGGACGGCGGCGGAGTGACCAAGACACCTGTAACATCGGAGCCCCTTAATCCTCAAATATCGGAGCCACGACTGTACAGGTACAGCAGAGGTCCCTATTTAGAGCCGGTGCCCGGAATATAGTGCCGGTGCTTTCGGCGGACACACAGTAGCGAATTCCAAGTCATTCTCAATACTTTGAATAGTGAATTCAATATTTTGAATAGTACCGGCCCGGCACTGTGCCGGTGAATTATCTGGGCACCTACCGGCAGTCAAAAGGGACCTCTACGGCAACGCCATCAACCCATGACGTGACATGAGATGACGTCAAGAAAAGTCGTGGGTAGTCCCGTCTGCAAGGGTAAGCGCCCCTTTCCCATGGTAGGAGATGTGATCTCGCACCCACTCCCCCTCGAACTTCTCCCCGTTCGCGAAGACACAGATGCCCTGCCCGTGTCGGAGGCCTCTGTCCCAGCTGTGTGGAGGTAACGCCGACAGGTAGGGTTGCAGGTGAAGGCGTTTTTAAGGTTGATCAGGTTTTTCGCGGTTCAGGACGACGAAACCGCTACTTCGGCTCCCTTCGTGAGGAGTGGTCAGCCATGTTGGAGAGCGCGCCTCACATGCGTGCCGAAAACATAGGAAGATTTTAACCTACGATTCCAACTATTTTACACAACCTGGGGCCATCTCAAAAAGCCTTTCCTACGCATACCAAGAAAAAACGACAAGAAGAGACCCATTCGACACGACAACCTCCCCTCCGCCTTCGCGTCCCTAGGGTTAGGGTTAGGGTTTGGGTTGTGGAAAAATCGTCATCTTACCCTCCGGTGAAGATGTCCCCGTTCGAGTACTTGTAGGTCCCGGTGCCGTGCGGAACGCCTTCTAGGACCGTTCCGGCGTAATGATCCCCGTTCGCGAAGCGTATTCGCCATTCCGTCTGACGAGAAGACATATTCCGAAGGACAACGAAAATAAAAAAACGTCAGGACACAGAGTGGACACTGGACACAAGAGTCACGCCGAAAAAAAGAAATATTGACATCGAATGAAATTAAGGTGGCATCTAACCATACAAAAAAAAAAGAAGGCCCATCAGATGGAACAAGAATCGTTGCATCAAATGGAAGAAGTAGGCAGAGGTATCGAGCGGCGAAGGTGAATTCCTTGGAACAGCAAAACGCGGCTGCTGCCATCGGGAACAGCGCCATCCTGCACTTGAGAGTGACAAACACGCTCCTGTGAATTAAAACTCTTTGAAAAGTACCAAGACACAATTTTCTTTTGTAGGAGGCTGCCGTGCCGTCACTTATTCGATGCGAATCACGTGAAAAACGTGGTCAAACAAACATCGCTGGCACCGCAAGGAAAAAGCGAATTTCCTCCAGAGAGCGAGAGCAAGAGCGACAGAGCAAGACGACACAGTACACTGTAGCCAGGGAGACAGGAGTGAATCACATGCAAACACAGAGGCGTCACGTGGAAACACAAAGATGAACATGGAGGTATCGCGGAGAAAAACTCTGGGACCTGCCCGTAGACACGGCCAACGAATGAGACACCGAAACCATTAAGCGTACAACCTTGCAGTACTTTGCTCATCGACTGCAGCCAAACAGAGCGGCACCTTAAGCCCCAAGCAACAACAACCGCCACACCAAGTCGGTTCACACTTTTCCTCCGACCCCTTCCACATGGAGCGATCTTCAAAATGAAGCGATGGACTTCCGCCAAAAACCGAACAATAAGTGAGAAATGAAATGCTCGACCTCCCCCAATCACAAGCACCCCCCCCCCAAACAAGCCACGAAAAGAAACGGCCATTTGGTACCTTTCCACCACATGGCAAAATTGAATAAATCTACCACAGCAATGTTCACAGCTTGTCTTGTCCTCACGTCTCCTTCCTGAGGCCTGGACTTGACCCACTCCCCCTCCAGAGTATCGCCTTCCGCAGTGAGTAGAGACCCCGATCCGTGCTTCTCCCCTTCTCGGAACATTCCTAGGAACGGTTCCAACAACGCACGCAAACCGAAGGGCGGGGGGGATGTAGGGGACACATGAGAATTGGGTTAAAGCTCCAGGCGCACAACGGTGCAATCTGGGTGCTAGCCAGCCCAAATCATAAATAGATCAAAACTTCATCATACGTGCAAGTTTCAAAACGTTTCAAGTGACGCCCGCATCAAGCAATCGTGGTGGTCAGATGCAGCTTGGCCATTTCTGCCCCGGCCTTAACGAAGGTTAGGGATAGATGGGGTCAGGGCAAACGCTGCCCTTAGCGACAACACGGGGGAGGTCCAGGTGGACCACAAGACAATTCCCGCTTGTCAAGTATTCCCTCCCCAACAGCGTGGAAAAGGTCATTGGTTCAGCGCAAAACCCTTGTTTGACTTTCGCAAACATGCACCGGAAAGAGACAATCCAAACTGGAGTCCTGCACAACCAAGTGTTCCGGTTGTTGCATGGACTTCTGAGCTGCGGCTCCGCGTGACGATACAGCACCGCGACGTGCATGGGCTCCTGAGCTGAGGATCCATAATGATACAGCGCCGCGACGAACACTTACGGGCCACCAGGGCTAATCAACCCTGTTTGCCTATTCTCAAATACCACTCTGTTCCACAGGATAACCGCCATTCGGATACAAGGGCGAATACCGCAAGTGCTGTTGCCTTTGTGGCCTTCACACTAAAAACCCGTTCCGTTCTCTCTACCCAGTACCTTCTTCTCTCCGTACCAGCCAAACACGTGACGCGGTCGATTCCCGTGGCCACAGTACAGGATGCCTTACCACAAAAGGCACACAGCTAGATTAACGCCGTACACAGTGATGGTGTAGTCAATACCTTCATATCGGGCCCCGGTCGGGAGGGTGAGAGTCCCTTCCCCAGAATATCGGCCGTTGTGCCACTCCCCCGAGTATGCTGGAAGAAAAAAAAAGGGTGGGGAGGGGGGGGGGGGG